GGAGTTACATTTAAGGCTCACACTGAAATCAAGAAAGAACTTAGTGTACAGTTATCTCAGTGCCTGGGACTTTTCAGGACCTTGATTGTCTTGAACCAGAGCAGGCAGATTGACTGTGTATCTGGATGCCATTTTCCATTCCATAGAGGGGAACTATTGCAGGATGCACCCGAAAACATTTTTCCCTCATAGCTATTTCTAGCCTAATAAGTGTGTGGTAACAATCAAGTTGGTACTTTTTAACCTTTGTTGAGAACAGTGGTGACCGTAATTCCTGGCACCAATCTTCTAAGGCAGGCTTGCCAGAATTAATGTGTGAGCAGCTTATTCTTATCGTTTCTATGATTGAAATATGCCAAGGAGCTGTAGGAAAGCAGCAGTCTCTAGATATCTCCTGATGGTCGACTTTCTCTATGTGTGAGAAGCTCGGGTAAGGGAAGGAATGACTAGGTGGTAAAATTTACTTAGCAGTTCATTACCTAAGCAAGGCAGTTCTGTAAGCCCGCACTTTGACATCATAAGGAACATTTACTGGGGCTGGAGAGATGGCTCAGAGGTTAAGAGCACTGCCTGCTCTTCCAAAGGTCCTGAGTTCAATTCCCAGCAACCACATGGTGCCTCACAACCATCTGTAATGAGGTCTGGTGCCCTCTTCTGGCCTTCGGGCATACATGCAGGCAGAATATTGTATACATAATAAATAAATAAATAAATAAATAAATAAATAAATATTTTTTTTAAAAAGGAACATTTACTGTCCCATCCAATAGGCAATATTTTGAATCTGGTACTTACTTGTTGTTTCTGTAATGAATGCATTAATAGGTCAAAATGATGTTCAGTAGTATCTTACCACACCATAAATTATTCTAAAGGTTGGTTCTTTAGTAAGTAATAACATTGTCTGAGGTTGTCAATGCATTGATAGACCTCAAAAGGTTGCTGGTAGGCAGCTAGCTGTAGATGTTCTCTGCTTACCTTCCTCAAACCCTTACTAAGTGTCAGCTACCATTCCTGTGTGTTGAATATATTAGCCAAAAGAATCTTCCTATGGGTTTCTGCTACTGTACTCATTTTACAAAGAAGAAAATTGAAAGTCAAAGATGTTTAACAGTTTGCTAAATGTTACAGTTAGCTGGGGGAGGCAGAGTTCAGGAGTAGGATTCTGGTACCAGAGCCCTCACTTTAGCCATTATAATAGATGGCACATCTGTTCAGCAGTCTTGCCTTAGAGTTTAAATCATTGTTAGTAAACAAAGCCCTCTTTCAAAACTAATCTTGCATGAAAACCCAAATTTAACAGACCAAAGTGGAGCTTTTCTGGTGGTTTACCATGGAAGGCTCAATTCTGTTGGCTTCCTCCCAACTTTTACATCATCCTTAGTGCCTGCAGCTCAGCACTGGAGACATGCTGCAGGCAGTGGTTTAGGGAAGTTGATGTTGCCATGAAATTAATTGCAAGCTGAGAAAAGCCAAACTTTTGGTTTTGCGTGCGTGTTAACTGGAGTTCTGTATCAGAGCCCACAGAGAGTGCCTGAGCAAACGCGCAGTGCTGCCTCACGGTGGCCTTCTTCCTGCTCACTGTCTTCTGGAGCCCAGCTCTCAGCTGTCTCTTCTCTTTCGTCAGGAATGTCTTTTTATTAGAAGACAGGAAGAAAACAACCCAGACTGTGTTCCACAATCAGAAACCTCCGTTGTGGCAGAGGGATCTTCACTGCCGCCAGACAGGGAGAAGCTTCGATCTCCCAAGGCATCCTGAGGAGTTCCTGTGTGGGGTGTGAGGGAGAAACAGCACGGTTTTTAAAGGTGGCCGCAGCCTGTCCGGCGTGGTGGGAGGGAACTAGTTCCTGGTGAACTTCTTTCTAAAAGGAAAAATAATTCAAGGAAATTTAAAAAAAAGAAAAATAAACCCTGGAAGCTGGGATGAAAGCAGAACTGTACCATTCACCTGGTAGCAGGTGACGCACACACAATAGACATACACCAGCATGCAGTGCACATACAGAAACATAACAGAACTTTCTGTGAGACAGGCACGTTCCCTAAGGGAAATGTGGAAGTCAAATGAGAAACATGGCTACACTTGGAATTAAAGAGTCATTCATGTCTCCTCTGTTGTCCTTCCTTTAAACGTGAGTAGAAGGATCACATGCACACCCCCAGCCGTTCCACCTTTAGAGACGCCCAGACAAGGAGCCTGTTCTGCTTTTTGTCACTGTCAGGGATGAGAGTCAGAACTAGCCAGGGCCAAAGTTGCTATTCCTGTAGAGCCCAACCCTGATCTGTTGAGTTGCTGAGTCCATGCCAGTTCACAAGCTAAGTCATCAGCCTTGGTGGGAAAAACCAAAATTGAGGCGGGTGGAAGGGATATAAATGTGTGTTAAATATTTCTTTTTCTTAGTGAATTACTCATCCAGACATAGGAGGGGCAAGAACAAAAAAGGCTGTGGAGGAAATGTATTTACAAGACTACTTGTATTTTGCTTAAAAAGTGTGAAAATTAATTGACTTCTTGGGACATGGGGCTGAAGTGGGAAACCCAGAACAGACCTTAATGAGGGAGTGTGGTCTTGTGTTGCCATTAGATTACAGGGGCACTGTTCTGTCCTGTGGTGTAGCCATCTCAAGATGAATCAACAGCACCCCCCCCCAAAAAAATAGAAAGAAAGAAAAAAAGACAGAAAAAAAATAAAAACCCAATTTTTAAAATTTTACCCGTCTTTGTTTTTGTTTCTATTCACTAACTCACTGCTTCAAAGTGAATCTGGCTCGTCCACCTGTACAATCAGCCTTTGTGGAGCCTAGTGGGCATCTGAGCAGAGTTTAAAAAGGCAGGTTCCACCCTCGGAGTCAGGCCCTTCAAGAAACTGCTGGTTCTTCCTTCCTGTGGCTTCTCCTGCTGCTTCTCACCTTTCACGCAGCCTCAGTGAGAGTGAACTATGTTCACGTCATATAGTCACAAACGCATGAACTGTGCTTACGCGTGCCAGAAGCTTAAAAACACCTTTGACATGATACACCTATGAAGTTATGCCATAGCTAATAAGATGGTGAACATATTAGTGTGTATGTGATATATGTATATGTGTACATGGGAAGAGGGCACACATCATGGAGGCCAGAGGAGGGACATTTCTGTGGCCGTCTGTACTTAAAATCACTGATATCAAAACCTCATAGGGCTGGGCGGTGGTTTCACACATCTTTAATCCCAGCACTTGAGAGGCACACAAAGGCAGGCAGATCTGGCCAGCCTGGTCTACAGAGTGAGTTCAAGGACAGCCAGGGATACACAGTGAAAGCCTGTCTCAACAACAGCAACAAAAAACCTCACAGGCCTACCGAGGTAAAAAATTAACAACCAAATGCAGTATCTTGGGTGGCATCCTAAAACCAAAAGGGTAGGAAAGAATTAAAGTGTTGGTGGGGAGAATGAAGGCTTTGACTTCTTGGCACTCGAGGCTCCCATGGAAAGCACATACCCGTAGCCGAGCTTGCATCCCCAGCCTTGGTTCTTATTTTTCAAATTGTGTATGTCTGAAGTGGAGGGCACACATGTTTTTCTTTAATAGCTGGAGATCTTGCTCAGTGACAGGTCACATCCTTAGTGCCCCCTAAATGTCTTTGGAATACACTAGATATTTATACTATTATTTCTTGTATTTACTTCAAAATAACAGTAGGAAACCAAATGGGAGTTGGAATGAGAAATGAAAAAAAAATTGTGCGGGCTACATAATATTCCTGTGAGCCAGGTTCCAGTGATTAACCACCAGTTTACATGTAATATCCTAATATTAGCACATGCTTGAAAACAAGACTTATTTTTTAGTCACATTCCACTCTTGTAGGCACGCTGTCCCAGACTGACTTTGAACTACTGAGCTTCCTGTCTTCACCTCACCTCAGAACTGGGGTTACAGGCATAAGCACCACACCCAGCTATGTTGGGAGCAGTGAACCCCCAGATCCTGAATTTCTTGTAAACAACTTGTTTTCCTCTGCTGTGAGACAGACTGCAGCTGCCCTGAGCACAAGACCCTCAGGAGTTCCTGATGGCAGGAGAGTGGTTTCTGGTGGGTTAGACTGGGGCGTGGTTATCAGTTAAGGAACCCTATATAAACGGCTCTGGTACACAATAAAGGGGGCATTCTTGGGGCATTTCTGTTTCAAGGATGACCTATGTCTCTATCTGTGTGTCTTTGTGTGTTTAAATCGCCAGGCCCTTACCCGACTCACAAATGGTCCTGTAGTGCAGGCTCGGTAAGGGTTTTTTATACAGCTAGGCCTTTTTTTTGGGGGGGGGGGGGTTTCAAGACTGAGTTTCTCTGTAGTTTTGTAGCCTGACCTGGAACTACCTCTTGTAGACCAGGCCAACATCTAACTCACAGAGATCTGTCTGCCTCTGCCTGCCAAGTGCTGGGATTAAAGGCGTACGCCACCACCACCCAGTCAGCCTTTTTTATTTTGAACGTGTGTTACAAGGAATCAAGCATGGCCTTGTGCATTGCTGAGCAAACACTCAACCACTGAGCTACATCCCTGGCTGATAAGCTCATAGATTACTCCAGCACTTAGGAGATAGAGGTAAGGATACAGGGTCAGGGGTTCAAAGACAGCTTTGGTTAATACCACAAGTTTAAGGCCAGCCTGCTATTAGAAAAAGAAAAGGATCCCAGATTCTAACAGTCTGAAGGGGACTAGCACCCAATTATTCTTTCTTTTTTTTTTTTTTCCTTCACTCTTTTGGAAAGGTTTGGACAGTTTTTAAGATGGCACACATTCAAAATTCCACATCTGCCTCAGTCTGCTTTCTCCTTGAAGCAGAGCCAGCCAGGTAAATGTCTGTGAAGGCCCAGCTGACTTCCTGACGGGAAGACAGGGTCTCCCCAACCTGTGCCAGGCACCCCACCCCCACTGAGGCAAGGTTGGCTGACAACTGAACAGTCTAGTAGAACAGAGGAGTTTCTGGGCCTGGGAACAGTCAAGGAATGAGTAGATCTGCTTTTAACATTTATTAATCCAAAAATATATTAAATTCTACTTTGTACCCCAGCTTCTTAGACTCTGAAGGAAGGCAGCTGTCAGCCCCAAGCGTCTAGTGACGTTCTTGTCAGAAGGAAGATGAGAAAGGCTCAAGCTAGGGAATCCCTAAATCAGGCCCATTCTCTGCAGAAGCGCCACAAACACTCCTTGGTACTTTTTGCTAGAGGAATTGGGGTAACCATAAAAGTTGGCTACCCTGGGATAACTGGACCCATGTATCTAGGTCCCGGGCTAGTGATGTTCCTTCCCTCCCACTGAGCTGCTGGCTACATTTCTTCAGAGCCAAACATTACAGATCTCTGGGAGACAATGCTCAAATGGAAGAATTTTAGGGAGACTGTGACCTGAGGCCTCTCTTAACAGACTCAGAAGTAGAACCCTGCAGCCAGCCAGGCCTGCTGGGGCCACTTCATTACCATGCCAATCTCCACAGTTGCCCCAGGAAACCCAGGCCAGCCACTATCTGTAGTCTTGTTACTGCATGCCAACTGGATGATGCATGGGCCAGGGCCCTTGGCCAGCACCAAGGCCTGCCACAGGAGGGGCCTGGACCATGGGCTGCATCCGCTGCTGGGACTGCCAGATGTGATGGAGCTCTTTGAACTGCTCCACCATGTGGTCTTTGAGATCTGGGTTTGAGATCTGCAGCCGGATGCTGTCCGCCGACCAGGAGAGCTCCCCTGAGAACATCTCCAGCAGCAACCGGGCTGCAACGGGTACCACCTGGGGAACAAAGGAAAGACAGGGCATGGAGAATTGTGCCAGGACTGTTCAATCTAGCTGGGCATGAAGACATCCAGAGGCAGATGGTGGACTATCTGGTCCAGCCCTAGCCACCAAGTCCTCATAGCCCAGAGGGTCCCACTTCTATCCTGGGTCAAGGGTCCAGCCCCACGCAGAGCTGGCCAGGGGCGCACCTGTACAGTAATGAGCTTCTTCTCTCGGGGTTTGAGGTCAGGCCATTCTTCTCCAAAGCAGAAGAAGATCTCAAAAGGTGGCGGGGTGTTGGTCTGGCCCTTCTGGAACAGGATGAGTTCTGCATCAAGATTAAGGCCTCTAGTTAGAGGTTAGAACCCTATCCTGAATGAGGGACGTCCAGGAGGAGCATGGAATGGACCTCACCGTTGAGAAACTGCTCCAGGCTAAAGAGCTTTGTCTTGACCTCCCGCTGGATGGGGTTGGGGCGTGAGTCATGGGCTAAGGCACAGGGCCCACTCCAGAACACTTTGCACTGACACAGACGGATGGCGTACAGGTCCTGGCCCTGCAGCTGGAGGATGAGCCCACGGTCCAGGACATCTAGCAGCTTGTTTGTGTAGAAACGCTGCTTGTCACTAGGGATGTCCTCTGGGCTAGGGAAGCGCACTTGCTCCAGGCTCACAGGGCCGAAGAGTTCCACTTGCTCCTGAGTAGCCTCTAGCTGGCTGTAGAAGAGCCTACAGCCCTGGGGGTTGCTGATGGTGAGGGCACGGGGTGGACGACCGCGGTACTGGAACTTGATCTCCAGGTCAGTCACTGTAGGACAGAGCATCATGCCAACCAGGCTGTGAGCCCCATGGATCTTGAGTCAGCCAGGTGTAGGCCCACCCTCCCCAGCCTCCCCAGTTTATCCCTGACCCAGGAAGACTGGCCTGAAAGTTTTTCTTCCTTGTCCTCCTTCTGAGTCAACCCTACCCCGCCCCTGCTACTGCTCTGCCCAGCCCACCAGGAGTCCCTTACAAGGCAGCATGTGGGGGCTGACCAGCAGGTCAGGTAACAGCTGTTCTGTAGGGGGCTGACTGGGAGCCAGCGGTCCAGGATCCAGGTCCTCAGGGAGAAGCTGCCGGAAGTCTGCAGGATTTCCGGAGGGAGGGACCAGGAGATTTGGATCTGGGGCAGGGGGACCCAGCCCTACAGATGGTTGGAGAGCAGGTGGCCACTTGACGCCGTCTTTGGGTAAGGAGTAGGGTGCTATGGGAGGCCCGGGTAGCACGGGTTCTGTAGAGGATAAGGTGAACATGGCTGTGAATGCCACCTCGCCACCTCTAAGAACTCTCCCAGGCCTGACCCCCCAGCTTTGCTTCCCCCAGCCTTCCTCAGCACCCTCCCAATTACCTAGGATACTTGTCACTTCTTAACGCTAGACAACCCCACCACCACCACACCATCTTCCACCCCCACCTGTGATGCTCAGGCCCGGCAACATTCTCTGGAGCTGAAGGGAAGACACGGGCAAGGGAGGAAGGAAGGCAGGACAGGTTATTAAATTGGTATGATGCCAAAAAATGGTGCTCAACAAACAGGGCAGTCCCCCAGTTTCAGTCCAGTGGCAGCCAGACCCCGCTGCTGGCCCCAGATCTGCCATCTTCGGTAGGTTATGAAAACTATCGGTTTCCCCGTTTCCAAATGTGCATTTTGCAGGCAGTAGTACCCACCAAGCCTAACTGTTGTAGAGGTTGAGCAAACAACATGTGACCCACTGTATAGCAACAAAGCCGTAGGAGGGGCAAGATGGGCACTCTGTTCTCCTTCAGAATCATCAAAGGACAGCCCAAAGAAGAGCTGTGGAGGAGAGTGGACACCAGAGGAAGGGACCACACTCAATCCTAAAGTGGGGCAGGGCAGCAGGGATCCCACCCGGGCCAGCCTCATCAGCTTTGTCAGGAGCCCAGTGAGTACAGCCCCTCTGCCCACCACTCAACCCCACACACCTCTTCCTCTTCTTCCTCCTCCTCTTCTCCAAAAGTGTAATCATCAGTGGGCTGGGACTCTGCATGTTGAGGGAGACAGAGCAAGACAGGGAGTCAGGAACAAAACAGGAACCAGGCCAGGCTGTGGCTCCATCTGAACAACCAGAGAAGTTGGCTGTTTGGCTGGTGATTCAGGCCTAAGACACCAGCACTTGGGAGGTAGAGACAGGTGGATCCAGAGTTCAAGGTCATCCTCAGCTAGTTAGGAAGTTTGCCAGCTAGCCTGGGCTACATGAGGCCCTTTCTTAAAAGAACAAAATTCTCTGGGGTTCCATGATTCACAAAGCTGGCCAAATGTCGTTGAGTCAAAGGACCCAGCATCAAGACGCAACAGAGCAAGGCCTCCCCTGAAGCCAAGAGCTCATAACAAGGGCAGTGGTAAGGAAGCAGCAGGAGCCCTTGCCCCACTCCCCAGATACTGGTAGGAGCCCTGGGATTATGACCTGGCACGGCCCACACAGGTACACACTGGAGCACTTGGCTGGAAGGTCCTCGGGCTTTCTTGTACTCAGAAGTCACAGCTTTCCCGGTGTCACACAGGGCCAAGCATCCTACCTGCAGGAGCGGGGCCATTGGAGCAGACCTCATAGATCTTGAAGGGCTGAGGTGGCATGTCTCGAGGGCCATCGTAGTACAGACGGAAGTCACGGCTTTTGTTAAGGGCACAGCGCAGGTTGGCCTTCCACTTGGCTGGGTCAGCCTCATCCACCCCCTCCGTGTACTTCCCCGTCTCTTGAGCCCAGGCCTATGGAAGGAAAAGAAGACTGCAGATAACAGGGAACTGTACCTGTCACTGAGACCCCAGCACGTCTCTTGTCCTACAGACTTCACTGCTGAGAATTTGGCTACCAGGCTAAGCCTTGCTAAGGCTTTGTCTGCGTTAGGTGAATAGGACTAAGCCTTGTCCAGCCCTTGGAGTTGGAACAAGCTCAGTGAAGTCTATGTGCTATCTGCCGCTGCTAGGAAGGCCAACAGGTACACTCTAAAAGGAACATGTCACTATATCAGCAGCCAAGTTATCACCGTCGTTGTCATTGTCGTGTTAAAGATGGAACACAGACCCTCACACTTACTAAACCCATTCTCACTACCACTGACCCTCAACCTGCAACCGATCTTATTTTGCATGGCAATCCGGTAACATCGGGATTATAGGTGTTTCTTCTCTTTAAACTAACAGTTTTGATAGACTTATATAGAATATAGAAATATCCACACAGATTGTGGTAAGAATCAAGTATAAAAGCTAAGATGTATATATATATATATATATATACATACATACATACATATAATTTTAAAGTTTTTACAATCAGTTCTTCTTTGGTCTAACAATTTTTAACTCTGAACTCCAGACCTAAACCGACCATTATAACAAAGGGTAGAATCCAGGAGGAATTGTGTTTTCTTCCTAATACGGTCTGAAATGTCCAAACACTGAGTCTAGGTGCAGTATACAGAATCCTTCCAGCGGCTACTCAGTGGTCACAAGAAGTGAGGCAGATGTGCGCTGGAAAGGAAAGCTAATCCTGATGTTGGGCGAAAAGATGCAGGTTATAAACCAGCATGACTTTATCCAGCAAAATGGTTCCACACAGAGAGGCATTTGCCACTGCGTTTGTCACGCCTGACTACTGAGTCTGATCCCTGGACCCACACTGGAAGGAGAGAGTCAGCTCTTGCAAGTCGACCTCTGACCTCCACACACACGCTGTGGTAACTACACACTCCCCACAAATAAGTAAACAAATAAGCAAAAATGAAAGCATATGTCTGGGTTGACCGTTTTGACACACATCTGTCATCTGGGCACTGCAGAGGGGAGGGCAGAAGACCAGAGTCAGCTCCATTGCAAGTCTGAGGCCAGCCTGAGCTATGTAAAGAGCATTTCAAGACATGTAAAATAATAAATAACGCATGGTGGCGGGGGGGGGGGCTATCCCGAGTAGCAGACAGCGAGCACAGCGTCAGCAAGACGGGTCTTGATCCCCAGCATAAAGCTTTCTTTGACGAGTCAACTAGGCGTTATGATACAAGTTTGTAATCCCAACACTCTGGAGGCAGAGGCAGGGGGATTGCCACACATTTAAGTCCAGTCTAATCTACAGAATGAGTTCCAGGCCAACCAAGACGACATAATGAGACCCTATCTCAAAATAAAACACATCATAACATTTTAAAAATGTGACTAGATTCCAATCTTGCCTATTATCTACCCGTACCGAAGCCTTAAGACGCTGCAGTGTGTGGCCTAGTGTAAAACTACTGTAGGAGAGCCTGCCCGGCGCCAGGGTTAGAGATTGTTGGACTCGTGGTACATGCTTATAATCCCAGCACCTGGGAGGCTGAGGTAGCAGGAGGACAAGATCAAGGCCAGCCTTGACTACAACCGAGAGTCTGGCCACCTGGGTATTATATAGAGAGACCCTGACTCAAAAACCAGACCAAAACGAAAAGATGTGGTGTTTGAACGCTGAGTCAGTGGCTTCATTTAGTGCACATGTGTACTCAATGTGTACTCCTGTGTGACAAGAGCTAGGAGCATTACAAGGACTTACAGGGGGGCCTCCCAGAGACCTTTCTTGTCCACCTTGCTCTAGGCTACAGTTTAGAAGTGATCCTGTGTCCCCGAGTCTAGGCATGGGGTCCCCTGAGCACTGTAGGTGCAGAGCGGACCACCTCCAGGAGATGATCGTGGATCTCTACTGGGGAGGGGCTGCCCCAGAGGTCTAGACAGCACCTTATCTATCTAAGGCTTACCTTGAAGATGGTGTTGTCCCCATCCTGGCTGGGCCCATGCCTTGTGGCATGGCGCCAGGGGATATAGAAGAGTTTCCTTTCCCCATTGACCCACTGAAGTCCTGGGTACTGGCAGCTGTTCACCTGGGCCACCAACCAGGGCTTCAGCCTCACACGGCGGGGTGGTGGGGGAACCCCCGGGGCTGGCTGGTTCATGGCAAAGGGCTCTGCAGAAGCAAGCAAAGCAGACCTCAGCAGATTCACACTAGATGCTCCGTGAAGGCCGTGGGTGGAGCCTTGCGGATATGGCTCAGTGCAGGCTAAGGTCAAGCCTGTTTTCCCAGCCTCCTTGGCTTTCTTGTCGCAGGCTCGCTCACCCCGTGGTTTCTGTGCTAGTGGGTGCTGTGGGCCCCTTCCTAACAGACCATTCATTTTCGAGGGTGCACTCAGTACCCAGCTGCTGCTTCAGTGGAGAACTGTCCCAGTGTCCCTGGTCAGGACATCCATCACTAGAGTCGCACTGCAGCCAAAGCTGGCTCCCTTACATGGAGGTAGGCTAAGGGGTGACAGGCGCTTCTCTGGGGTTGGCTATTGGCACCCTGCCTTATCCCTCCCATCCCTGCTCAGCCTTTCCCTCTGCAGTTTACTCCAGCTCCGTCCCCTGAACTGCCCTCCCTGTCTCCACCAAATCCTCTAAACCAGGATCCAACCTCAGGCTTCCAACAGAGGCCAGCTTTAGACAGAAGCAGACCATGTGGAGTTCATCCCCAGCCCACAGGGCTCTGTCACTTTCTGGCCTTTTGGCTAAGATCACGTGTTGCACTGCTTGCTATTCCTCCTCCGTTTCTCTCAGGGGTGATGCTTTCATCCGCCTTGTCCTCTGTATAGGAATCCCATGAGTCCACTTAAATGACACTGGGCAGCCAACTTCGATGGCACCACTCTGAAGCCATCAGGTCCTAGCTTTCAGTTCCCACCCCTTTTCTCGCATTCATTCAGTGCCTAGGAAGCCTCTCAGGCAGTGGTTCTCAACCTTCCCAAAGCCAGGACCCTTCCTATGGTTGTGACCCCCAAACCATAAAATTACTTTTGTTGCTACTTCATGACTACACTTTTGCAACTGTTACAAATTATCAGGTAATTATCTGCCACAGAGATATATGACCCCTATGAAAGGGTCATTTGATCCCCAAAGGGGTCATAACCCACAGGTTGAGAAATACTTCTCTAGTGTTTACAGACCTGTGTCACACACACACACACACACACACACACACACACACACACACACACACACACGGTGGCAGGAAGTACAGGCCAAGATCTAACAGCTCCCCACTGGAGGCAGGTGACAGGACGCACGAGACCCTGGTGCCCTCCCCTCTCCCTGCTCACTCTCCTCTAAAAAGAACTGGAAATGTACAGCAGTCTAACGCTCCCTCTTAGCCATCCACACTCTGGGAAGTTCTCTCCTTCCTTTGGCCATGCCCTCGGTCTTGAACTCTTGGACCCAGAGGCAGAGGCAGGAAAGAGGGAGGCCACTGTGCCACCAGCTCCTTAGGAAGGAGTCACTTATTCGGCAAGTTAAGGGACAAAATGAGCAGGCTTGCTTGCCTTTTGTAGCATGGAGCCTCCGTTTCCCCTGCAATTGACCCCAGTATCTTTTGGGTTGTGGCTGCTCCATGCCACATCCAGACTAGCAGACTGTCACTCTGCAGACTGCAGGGCAGAGCCTAGCTCAGCTGTCAGTGACCCGTGAACAGGAACGCCAGCGCCAGCATTGGACAGGGAGGGTGGAGAGGCTCCCAGCCCTGCCCCCAAGCTTAAGAAGACAGAGGCTTAGTTCCTCTTTCTACATCAGCCTCCACCCTGACCTAAGGGAAATGAAAGTTGCCCTGATGGGACAACTCAGAAATCTGACTCATTGGGCTGACTTGTGGGCTGATGGAGGGAGGGGGCATAGAGAAAAATCATGAGAGTCTGCAACCCCCAGCCTCTAGATCATTCCCTTCCTCTCAGACCTACTGACCACCACCTGCATCTTTCTTTGTAGCTCTCAAGAAGCTTTGATCCTAGAGCAGCCGGCACTTCTGCTCATAGGAAAGCGGACACAAGGACAGGCGAGTTACCCTGAAGACCCCACACAGTCAGCCTGTAGCTGGCCCAGGGTGCTCTGAAAGGAAGACCAGGACTCTCTCCACGCTCCAGGGACCAGTGCCGCTTTCTGTCCCAATCTGATGTTTAATTCAGAGAAAGGCTTTGAAATTGTTACTCTGACCTTGGTGTTAGGACATGGCAGACCCTGAAGCATGGAGTAGGGACAGAGAAAAGAGCCCCACAGCAAGCTGGACCACCAGGGCCAAGAGAGGGCATATTCACTTAGCCACTGAGGGTTTCACCCGCAGCTAGGTGATCCCACAGGATCTTTCCCTTGAGCAGGACCAAGTTCAGCATCCACTCCCCCCAAAGCTACCTTCTCCCCAAGAGAAGGCTGAGCTCTGAGTCTGACCCTGGGTCTGCCAGTTCCCAATTCCAGTGTCTAAACATGACTGCCTTCTCCTGGGTCTGGAGGTTTGGAGTAAAATGGATGAAACACCCAGACTGAGATCTGTGGCTATCAGCCCGGTAAAGGAGAAACCACAGAAATGTCAAAATGGGTATAGACTGCTAAAAACCCGAGGAAACATCCCACATAAAATTAGGCACAGAAGCGTCTTGAGAAGCAGTCCGTGAATCCCAGCTGCAATGGAGAGTTCCCACAGCTCACCCCAGGGTCCCGAAGTCCCAGGAGAGGTCACCTAGGTCGTCAGATCACTGAGAGCTACGAGGGCTGGTGGGGGACATGCTGCCATAACGGAAGTAAAGGAGACAGAACTTCAAACCCCTCCTGTCTGGCTCTAAGCCCCACACCCAGTTCAAGGAACCTGCAAGGGGTTACCTGAATCAGGCAGGAGCCTAAGTCCCGCCCTCTCCAGGTGAGCCACACACCCGGGGCCCCGCCCCTTCGGAGTGCAGACAGGCTGACTTTCTGGGGCAGCAGGTGCGGCAGGAAGAACCCTTTCTCAGCTTCCTCCCAGGGGCAGGTTGGGGGAAGGCCAGAGTGCAAGGGAAAGCCCCGAAGCAGCGCTTTTAGTTAAAAGGGGTGGTTTCCTACCTCTTTCCTAGTCCTAAACCAGGAGCTTAAGGAGTAGGGACGGATACTCCTCACCTGGGCCGCCCCACCCCCAGCTTCTCCAGCCTCCTCAGTCAGCCCAGCCCACGTCCTTTCTGGTCCAGTTCACTTATCCCCACACTGGGTCCCCTCTCTGGTTCGGGCCCCAGAAGTCACCGCAAAGTTCTGGGTTTAGTATCCGTTCCTGGACCACTCCTCTGTCTGGGGACGCCCCGCTCTGCTTCGCCAAGTGGAGGCCAGGAAAGCCTCCACTTCCAACCCGGCTCCTAGGTACCGGCTCTGGGAGACACTTGCACAGAGGTTGGATGCCAGCCCAGGGCATCTCCCTGCCTGGCCTGCGCTGCGGCCCATACTGCTAACACTTTCCCTCCACTTTCAGATTCTAAGTTATTTCCTCTTAAGTTTAGGAGCAGGCCGTCAAGAAACCAGACCAAGCCTTGCTCCCCGCATTCTTCTTGACTGCTAAGAAAATCGGCGTCCTTTTTGAGCCACGAGTCAAGGGGCGGAGCCACTATTTGACACCATCTCCCCCCAAACTGTATTTCCACAAATTCCTGTCCTTGGCTTTAAGATCCTTGGGAAGGGTGACTGTTTGAAACAGTCTCTTACTCGAAAAGGTGAGGCGTGGCCGGGGAGGAAGGACGGGGCTGTGCGTGGAAAGGATCCTTGGCGCCAGACTGCGGCCCCGCGCGAGGGCGCTTGGCATCCTTGACCCTGGCGAGGCGCGAGGAGGATGCGCACTCGTCATTCGTTCCTCGTCCCTCGCCTGTCGGGGCTTTCCCGGCGCCTGTGGGACGATGGCGGCCGGAGCCCAACACTCCGAGCTGGCCGGGTGTGGGGCGCCTTGGAGACGTTGGCGTCGGCCGGGCGCTACCTGCGATGAGCGCCCACCGCAGAGGAGCGGGATCGAGACCCCGCCGGCCCTCTTGGGCAGGAGTCCCCAGGGGCGCAGGCAGCCGTGGGACGAAGCAGTTGACTTGGTAGTAGCCGGGGACGGTACCCACCACCCTCCAGGCTCGAGACCCAGAACAGCCCACAGCTCCTGGACCTACCTGTCTGCGGTGCGCCCGCGGGGAGCCAGGAGCCCCGGCCGGGCGCTGCGGCCGTCTGAGCCCTCCCCGAGCTGCGCCTCCCGCGGGTCGCCTAGTCCGCCCCGCACTTCCG